CTGCCGAAATAGAGGAGAGTTCCACAGTAGCTACTATTGAGCAAAACTGTGTGGTCACAAAGTTGTTTGCCAACTATTTTCCCAAGAATTTTAGATAAGACAGCAAGATTGGATATAGGTCTATAATTGAAAAAGTCATCTGGGTCAAGAGACGGTTTTGTAAGTAACGGTTTAATTACAGCTACCTTTAAAGCCTGCGGTATATATCCCTGCAATATGAATATATTAATCAGAACTAAAAGGAAATCAGAGGGAATACTTCCTTAAATAACTTGGTTGGAAATGGATGTAACATACAAGTTCAAGGCTTAGATAAACATAATGATTCTACTAATTCTGAAAGTTCAACTGGATCAAAGCAGTCTAAACCTTATTCAGATTTTACAGTTACCTCAGATGATGCCTCATCTTCCAGCAATAAACCAATGAAATTTAGAGGTGTTCTAATTTCCTATTTTTAATAGATCCCTATGCAGATCTGCATCAAAACAATAAAAAGTCTCGGCTACAAGATGAAATTTAGCTCCACCTTAGTGTTTCCTCTGAAGCCTAAACCTCCGGCTGTGTTTAAGAATACCACTGCACTTCCTGCCTGTAATGGAGCAGCAAAGCATATCACGCAAACAGAGACACCTGTATGCTGACATTACATGCAAAAATATCTGACTAGAGCCACTGGTGTAAATCCGAGCATGGTTCCCATTTTTCTCTGTCATCTCCCTCTAGTTTGTGGCTTCCACTATCAGACGAGCAATACCCTATTTTCAGCTTCAGAGCCCCCATGTCTCATCCCACAGGCTGTTAGAGCCCATGTGGTCCTGGAGAAACACTGCTGAGGGCAACATTATAAATTCATTTCCTTTTCAACACATGGTTCTCCTCCTTTACAATATGTGTTTCTAAGAACAAATCTGGCCTAGAATAAATAGGCTGAAAGGAAGGTTAGAATATCAAAGGTTTGACACAGAGTTTAATCCTGTCAATGTCTGAGGTAATATGTTCCCATCCGAAAGACAGGTTGTGGCTCAATCTGTTTTGAAACCATCAGTGTTAGTTAGATGCTGCAGTATGCAAAAGTATTCAACTATTCACCCTAGCTAAATAAATGGAGATTGATGGATTTCACTCAGTTGGCATTTTATTCATAATATCTTTGCAAAGAAAGAGAGAGAGAGTCCATCGTCATCATCAGTATGGCACAGCATTAGGATGCCTGAGCAGCGTTCGTTCCCCCTCACTTACAATAATGGAGAGTGGTCAGAGTCAAAACAAATTACAGACACTTTGGTTAAACAGTAACATGTTATGAATAAACCTTGAGAAAGACACAAAAAAGATACTCTACAAACACACTCACACAGAGAATGTTGTGGCCTTGAAGGCGAAACAGACTGAGTGAATTTATAATATTTAATTTATTTGTTGCCATGGCAGTGCTCCAAAGCAGCGGCCAAGAACGGCTCATCTCGACTATTTCGATAAGTTCACATAATATGCCACTTAATACGATACAAACTAGACATCAAACCTGCATCTATGATCGCCAACGCCTGCTGGAGCTACGGTCACAAAATGTTTTCAATCCAGACATTTTTGATCGTTTAAAAAGCTGCGGAGTGCTACGGACGGATGTAAACAAAACAACAGTGGAACGTAACTGCCGGAGGAAGAGAGGTGCTAGATTGAGAAAATGAGGATGCAGAGAGGGGCTAACTGTGAAGATAGGAAGGAAACCCCACAGACAGAACTAAGCGGTAAGACTCGGGTTGGTGGGCTCTGTGTTTACATCAACAACAACTGGTGTAAAAATGCTAGATTGGTCACCAGCTTCTGCTCTCCAGACATGGAGTTTCTAACTGTTAACTGCAGACCGTTCTATCTGACCAGAGAGTTCAGTGTGGTTAGCAACACTGCTGTTTATGTGCCCCCCAGTGCTAACACTAAAGAGGCCATGAAGACTCTATACCAGGCTATCTCTAAACTCCAATCTGCACACAGAGGGTGTTTTCATCATTGCTGGGGATTTTAACCAGGCTAACTTGACGACTGTTTACCCTCATTTCTACCAACATGTGGACTTTGCAACTCGGGGTGAAAACATTTTAGACCTGGTTTACTGTAATATCAAAGATGCATTCAGAGCTGCCCCCCGCCCCCCACCTCGGGTAATCAGATCACCTATCTGTCATGCTTATCCCTGCATATAAGCCCCAACTGATCAGGGCTAAACCAACAGTTAAAGAGGTCAGTGTGTGGTTTGAGGGCGCCATGGAGAAACTCCAAGACTGTTTTGAATGCTCTGACTGGGACATATTTAAGGCTGCAGCAACATATGACAACTTGTTAAATATTGATGAGTATGCTATGACTGTGTCAGCCTACATTAACAAATGCACTGAGGACGTCAGCATCAAAAAGAACATCACCACCCAGGCCAACCAACCACCCTGGATAGATGGAGAGGTTCGGAAATCGCTAAAAGCACCAAACTCAGCTTTCAAGCCTGGTGATAAAGGCACTGACAACAGCGCGTTCCAGTTTAAACTGTGCCATCAGATCAACGAAACAGAACCAAAGCCAGAAGATCCAGGACCTTTTCCACGACAACAGCAACACCAGGAGGATGTGGAAAGGCATTCGGATGATCACAGACTACAACACACCCTCCCCCCCCGGTAGATGCTGCAAAGACTGACTTCCTAAATGAACTCAACAACTTCTTTGGAATGTTTGAGGCACTACACAGCCTCCAGCAGTGAAAGCTGTTCCACACCAGGGGGAGGAGGCACTAAACCTGGACGTAGCTGAAGTGAAAAAAGCTGTGAACCCAAGGAAGGCCCAAGGACCTGATAACATACCTGGGCGAGTGTATAAGGAGTGTGCAGATCAGCTGGCTGCTGTCCTCACAGACATCTTTAACACCTCACAGACCAATCCATAGTGCCCGCATGCTTCAAGCCTGCCACCATTATTCCAGTCCCAATGAAGCCTCAGGTCAACTCACTATATGATTCCCGGCCTGTCGCACTGACTCCCATCATGACATGATGAAGTGCTTCGAAAGGCTGGTTAAAGAACACCAGGGCTGCGTCCTGAGCCCCCTGCTGTTCACCCTGATGACACATGACGGCGTCCCCAGGTTCACCACCAATCACATGGTGAAGTTTGCAGACGACACNATTCTGTTGTCCAACAGTCATAGGGTACCTCAAACTGAACCATCTGTCCAAATGGAAATGAGCAGGTAAATGACAACTTTATTTATTGTCAATTCAATTTTGAAGCATTTTTATAAAGACCTTTAATTGTTTTCCAAAATTCCACTTGTATGTCTTAATATGGCATAAAATAGTATTACCTTTTGTTGCGGCAGCTAATCATCACAATGTAAATCTCTCATAAAAGATATTACATTTTTGGGACTTGGGTCTTTCTAGCAAAATTGACTATTATAATTTTGAACTGAGTCATATGAATAATCCTTGTATTTTATTATTTTGTATTATGCAATATATGTCTAAATCACTCTGTGGTTCTTTGAATCTACTGTCTAATTTGTCATCGGTTATGTCATCAAAGTGATCTTTGAAATGAAATAATCAGTATAATTTGGTTATCTTCAAATTTCTGTACAACAGATCTTTTCCTGGACTTTACAACAGGGGAAGAGGAAAACGACGATTTCCTCCAACAAGCCTGGTCCCAGCGAAAAAGATGAAACCTTTAGATGTGGTTTTTTATTTACTGCCAAAACATTATGAAAAAACACCAAAAGAAGATGATCAACTGATACATATGAAAGCGGGATTGGGCCGGAAAACGGCTCACATCGATGAGAGCATAACGCACAATGAGGTAATTCCTCATAATGCCACAATTATTTAAACAGTGGACTAGACTGATAAATCGACTGTGTCAGCCCTAAAAATAGATCTGCTCTTCATCTTAGCAGAACATTGGTTGGGACCACTTCTTCTTTGAGTTCATGTTGCCTTTCTATTGTCTGATGCTTGTCAATCAATTCTGCATGGGGCTCTGGCATCAACAAGATATTTCCTCTCAGAAATTCCACTTATTTAATATCAGGTCTGTCTTCAACCAGCCTGAAATCTTGGAGATGTATGTTGGTGAAAATCACTGGAGACCTGAAATTTCTAAAATACTCAGGCTTATGTTTTGAATGCAGGAACCATTAAATTCACCTCAATAATATTTATTCTCCAATAATTCTGCTCTCTAATTGGCTATGTCATTTTGCATCTTTGAACACTTCAAGTTGATCTGATGAAGTGGGCTGTCATTGCATGTATTAATATTGTATTAGGAACTATCACTGTATATTTACATTTATTTTTAATGAGTCTTAATTTGACATATTTCTTTTACAGCTAGGTGAAACGCTTAAAGTTCTTTTTCCAAAGCTGGGAACTATTGCAGGGGGTTGGCTGCTTTACAAATCTGCAGGTGGGTGATGAAGTGGCTGATATCAGGTTACAGTAATATTATTATAAATGTTCTTTTCATTATTTTTGTTAGTGTGATTTTAAAATATTTCTTCCTTCTAAAGAAATACAACTGGCAGACAAATTCTGCTGTTCAAATAGAGCTACACCAGTTTTTGTCTCAGAGCAACAATCCGAGGCTCCTTCACCCCATCCAAAATGCTCTCCTGGTCCCATCAATGGCTGTATTTAACCCATATCTACGGATCCCCTGTATGTTATTGCATATATCCTTAAATTTAGCGTATGCACACAACGTTGGAGGACTAAAAGGCGACTCTTTTACATGCCATCTATAGACTCTCTGCTGCAGTAGAACAGCTCATTACGAAAGGCATCCATGAAAGAGCAAGTGGGCAGATGATATATTTACCCTACAAAACATGGAACATTGAAAATTAAATGTTTGTAATTATAGGAATACCTTTTTCATCAGCAAATGTTGTTCTGAATGCGGTTGTCAAGTAAATTGATATTGTGCTTTGATTTGAAGCAAAGTCATAATGCACAGTTTCTTGTAGGTGGATGGGGAAGACGCAATT